TTTTAGCTTCGCTGTCCACTTTGTCGAGCGGAGTTTATCATATGAGTGATTGTTCGTCGTCGTCCGTGTCAATGTTTTACTTTTTCGACTTCTTCTTGAAAACTACAAGCCTGAATGCTTTGATACTTGGTGTATATGTACCTTGGGTAGACCTCTCTTAGATTTGTTCATTTCATGATGATATCTTCAATTCTCTAATTTTGGTGAATATTTTTGTCATTTTTGGTAAAAGTGATATTTTCAACTTCTTGTTAAAAACCGCAAATCCAATTGCTTTCATATATTACATATACATGTATAGGTACTACATGTGGACCTCTCTCAGATTTGTTCATTTTGTAATGATATCTTCAATTCTCTAATTTTGTTGAATATTTTTGTAATTTTTGGTAAAATGTGATATTTTCAACTTCTTGTTAAAAACCGCAAGTCCAATTGTTTTGATATTACATATATAGGTACTACATGTGGACCTCTCTCAGATTTGTTCATTTTGTAATGATATCCTCAATTCTCTAATTTTGGTGAATATTTTTGTAATTTTTTGGTAAAAAGTGAAATTTCCCACTTGTTGTTGAAAACCGCAAGTCTGATTGTTTTGATACTATACATATTGTTCATTTTCTAATGATGTCTTCAGTTCTTTAATTGAAATGTGCATTGATAACAGCGGAGCTATCTCAGCCGAGAGGCTGCTTGTAATTAATTCCATGTGAAAATGTTTTCACAAGAAAATTCAGTGTATATTTTCTCAAAATATCAAAGTACTAGTAAAACACCAGTCACAACTAATGGTGTTTTAGTGGCTTGTGTCTTTTATAAACAAAATTACCAGCAACTGCCTCTAAGTGTTAGGTAAAATCTAACTACCGGTAATGGGGAACTCAAATGTTGCTATGCTTCTCAGGTGGTTGAATTCAATTAATGCTATAATTTTGTATATGATCTTGATCAAGGTTAAGGGCAGTCTGTAGATGTCTGAAAAACATACATATCGCAGCTTTTTTTTTCAGATTTTTAGAAAAAAATAATGAAAAAATCAGTTTCCATGAGAAGTTATGAATATGACAATTTCAGGTTTTTTTGTTGTTTTTTTAAACAAATTGACTGTAGAATATTTTTAGCACACCCAAGAAACAGTAGAATAAGCTACACATATTTCTTTCATTAGTAGAACACCTGTTAAAAATAAAATATTGTAATTTTTAGACTGTAAGCAAAAACTTTATTGTACCTGCTGTGTGTGGTTGTGGTACCTTACAGCTCAAGTCAACCTAACCTGTATAAGGTGACCAGATCTGTAAATTAATGCTAGTAAAAAATGTTGACCATGGGATTAACTATGCAGACAAGCTGTGTTCATATAAAAGGAAATGTACTGTCTATGCTCTCATGTGTAATCTCTGTCACCTCGATGTCTACCATATGTGTCACTTGCTTATTTAAGCTCACTGGGATTCTTTCATGTCATTCTCTATCTGCTGCTGGTGACAAATTGCTTTGAACTCATACAAATGTGCTTCCCATCAGGGTGATTGTACCTTTCCACTTATTTTGATTTACTCTACTAAAGCAAGCATTACCTCATACAAATGTGCTTCCCATCAGGGTGATTGTACCTTTCCACTTATTTTGATTTACTCTACTAAAGCAAGCATCACCTCATACAAATGTGCTTCCCATCAGGGTGATTGTACCTTTCCACTTATTTTGATTTACTCTACTAAAGCAAGCATTACCTCATACAAATGTGCTTC